AAAAATTAGCTGGGCATGGTGGCGCGTGCCTGTAATCCCAGCTACTCAGGAGGCTGAGGCAGGAGAATTGCCTGAACCCAGGAGGCGGAGGTTGCGGTGAGCTGAGATTGCGCCATTGCACTCCAGTCTGGGTAACAAGAGTGAAACTCAGTCTCAAAAGAAAGAAGAAAAAAAAAACAGAAAGAAAGAAATACAACTTGAGTCACATATATAGTTTTATTTATTTTTGAGATAGCATCTCACTGTGTTGCCCAGCCTGGTCACGAACTCCTGGGCTCAAGCACTGCACCCACCTCAGCCTCCCAAAGTGCTGGGGTTACAGGCACCAGCCACTGTATCCTGACCAAAATTTAATATTAAGTTATTTCATGGGTGAAGACCTTCAAAGTAGCCTTTTCATCTAATTTTGTTTTACTTTATTTATTTATTTTTGTTTTTTGAATGGAGTCTGCTCCATCACCCAAGTTGGAGTGCAGTGGCACAATCTCGGCTCACTGCAACCTCTGCCTCCCGGGCTCAAGCAATTCTCCTGCCTCAGCCTCCTGAACAGCCCTGATCAGAGGCGCAGGCCACCACACCCAGCGAATTGTTGTGTTTTTAGTAGAAACAAGGTTTCCTCATGTTGTTCGGGCTGGTCTGAAACTCCTGACCTTGTGATCTGCCGTCCTCAGCCTCCCAAAGTACTGGGATTACAGGCATACGCCACCACACCCAGCTATTTTGCTTTCATTGTATTTTCCAGAGAAGGAGTCTCACTCTGTTGCCCAGGCTGGAGTGTAGCGGCTCAATTTCGGCTCACTGCAGCCTCTGCCCCCTGGGTTCCAGTAATTCTCTTGCCTCAGTCTCCGGGGTAGCTGGGATTACAGGCATTCAGCACCATGCCTGGCTAATTTTTGTATTTTCAGTAGAGATGGGATTTCGCCATGTTGGCCAGGCTGGTCTGGAACTCCTGACCTCAGGTGATCCACCCACCTCAGCCTCCCAAAGTGCTGGGATTACAGGCGTGAGCCACTGCACCAAGCCAATTTTCTTATTTTTTAAGAGAAATGGGTTTTTGCCGTTTGCTC